GTCCATGTTAGTTTCTCGGAGATATCCTTGAAGAATTCTCAACTTATCAAGACAGATAACAATATAAATTGTAGATGGCAAAATAATCTGATCTGATTTTGCTTGCAATTTGTCTGCCTTTAACAGTCTAATTTCATAGTTATGCAATAAAAATCCCCATGGCAAAAGCAGGCAGCTACTTATACTTTAAAGTGTTTTAGACGGTCCATGATAGTTGTCTCTGGGAGTTGTCTCTGAAGAATTCTCAACATATCAAGATAAGAGCTGATAATATAAAATGTAGATGGCAAAATAAAACGGCATGCACCTCTAAACATATGCTCATTAATTAATATTGTTACAAGCAACAGAAGGATAATCTTTAAATGATTGCAACGCATTATCTATTTTAGCTGAAATCTCATGCGACAAAACGGAAAATGGTTTGGAAAATAAATCAATAAGATCAACGTTATACAATGTTGAAAACAAATCAGATAGTAAAAAATCTTATTCTAATTTAATTCCTAAATAAAGTCTCAACCCTCCAGACACTGGTGACATTTGACCGCATTTGAAAGACTTTATCTAATTTAAACAATCAAATCAAATCAAAAGTAAAACATGCAAACAGGTATAACTGCTTATTTGAGAATATCCGAGGAAATGTGAATGTCAGTGTCCGGGATGTGTGACACAGATTTCAAGTCCTACATCGCCCTTGAATACCCTGAAAAGAAATCTGCTTGTGATAAGCTATTCTTTTTATACCATGGTCAGAGCAATATCTCAGTATATAATAGTAAGTGATAAATCACATATTTGGGATATGGATGATATTGGGATTAGAGGGATGACATGGATATCAACCCGGGTATTTATTCAAAAATTTTCAATTTTCAAAAAAGTTATTTGTTTCAAAATTTTTCATTTTTTCAAACATTTTCTCTCATTCAAAAAGGATTTTAGATATATGTTGCTCTTGACCATGGTATAAGGTCGTTATTCACCTGTCGGGATGATATTGAGAATATTCCTCGGATGGTATCAATATTTCACTCTGTCACTGCGTTCCCTCTATCATGTGATATTCCCCATAGCAAATCCCTCCTGGTGAATAACTTCTTTGTATATACTTTCAACTAATTTAACAATGAAACAGAAACACACACAATGCATGCCAAACATTATCTATTGTATTATTGTATATTATGGTTATTTCATAGTTTGCACTTGTATTCAGCAACTGTGTTTCTCAAACCCAATATGGGATAAACATTTTTAGGGTTAACACGTCAGACTTAACACGTCGCTTGAGGCAAGATGCATAAACTATATAATTCCACGGCTATAACTTGAAAAACGCCACTGTTGTGTCTATGCCCCTTCTGTATCTTACCCACGGGAACCTACAAAACAGAAAAATATATACATGTAATGACATTATGAAAAGGGGAAGTCCCGTCTATATAAATCCCTAGGTTCAAGTCGTGGAAACATCCCCATATTTGCAACAAAACAATGATAAACCAAAGTCGGTAAGTAGTAGTTGTACCCCGGGAGTTGTACCATATGCATGAATTGTAGCTTTTGGGAAGGATGATAAAACGCAAAAAAATAATTTAAATACTTGGTGAAGTCTGGCATTCATGATCTGACAGGAAATTTAGAGAAAGCCTTGATTATGATTAAACGTAAAAGCAAAAGTTGACCATTGTATCTTGGAGGTTATCATGACAAATGAATGTTCATTCGAAGACGACCACTGAATCCAAATCCAGTTCACTAAAACAATGTATTATAAACAAATAAATTAAATCACTATTACTATTACATGTATTATAAAATAATAAATAGATAACGTGTTTTATATTCGTACAATGATGAATACATTGCAGCAAAGAGCTTGAAACAATGTTCACCGTTTATACAGTTTAAGTTAAACTAAATAACAGCAACGCCAAAGCGTAGAAAATTAATATTTGATCTTGAAAGTATTAACATCAATTGCTAAGATTTGAACATTATGCTCTTGATGCAGAACACAATAGTGTTTTACTTTAATCGAAGATGTTTATAATCCTATCATTAATGATTGCGTCCCATTTCATGATTATATGGAGATGTTACCTTGACATACACGTATTTTCAGAAATATTTGTTATCGTTGGTAGAAAACTCCGGTAGATCTATCGTACTCTGGAAAATGGCCTACCTTCGCCCCTGTCGTGAATTGCGTTTTAACGTTTACTTTTTATTACCTTAAATGCTTAGTTTCATCCTTGGTCAGAGGGAATAGCAAATATGACGTAAATAAAGGGATTACAAGCTTTATTCCTGTTCTAGTCTACTGTGAAGAAACGTATACCCAGTTTTTGGGTACCCGGTTTTTTCGACCGGGTACTTTCTCGACCGGGTACCAAGTTGGAATCCCGCATGGAGGATCTAGTACCCGGTACCCGGTACCCGGTACCCGGTTTTTTCTACAAACCCTACAAGCTGTCAAATACAGCTGAAATCATGAATTTATGGTAGCTAGCAATATTGATGGACTGTTGGAAAGATCATCCAAAATTACATTAACTCACCAACTCTCCAATTATTTGATATTTTCCTGATATCTTAAATACTAGTTAATGTACCCTTCCCCAACAGCTTTTATTGCATCATCAAAAAGTTAATTGTTTCGCATTTCTACTTCTTATAAAAAGTCTCACCACTATCCAATTATCTATATATTTAACCCTATCCACAAATTGGTTTGTAATAAACATATTACGTTGTCATCTTGCGCTCGACTGTTCTGCCAAATACGCTATTGAATTGCCATATTTCTAGGTCTTAAACGATACAATATAGCAATTTGGGACATTGATTCAGGTAATAGATATATGTTAATCAACGTAACTTTGAATGATAATCTGGATGCTGACTTTCTTTTCCTGAAACAATAATAGCGTAGGAATATAGTTTACACTTTCTTATTTATTTCGTGTTCGCGGCTGGACTGCGTTGCTTAGAATATCAATGGAGGCTGTGTTGCGTTGTTGAAATAGCTTTGTTTACTGGACTGCGTCCACTATGAATGCGCAGTTTGAATCTAATTTTCTCCTCATGAACACATTCTATTATCAAATCATTTTCACGAATTATACTCGGAGCCTCAACTAACCTTTAGATATCAGAAACGTGTTAAAACTCCTTTCAAGTGTATAGTAAATTAAATAATATGCACATATTTTACAGGTAAAATCAGAACTTTGCTACTGTTTTAGCTTGATCTGGACAACTGCTTATTTTCTTATCTACAGACCAACAGTAGATACAGAGTAATATTTTGGTCACCGATTAGACACTACGATAGCATTTAAAATTCCTGGATTTCTCTATTTTGTCGGAAGAAGCAGAAGGCACTGCCGAATGTCCCTCCATTTTGGCGCTGGGCTGCGGTGTAAAGTTACGCGAGTCGCAGTCCGTGGCTTCGCCCTCGTTTTGCTTATCCCCCGTGAGCATATATTGGCCTCCACGGGATCAGTATCACTGGTTCCTATGTGGCCCGTTTTGGTTCATTAAATTATGACGTCATAATGCCAAGATGTTTTGTTAAAATAACATACTATCCAATATACAAAATAACAACACCCTCATTCTGGTCTGCAAGAAGCAACAAATGATAGAGAATGTTAAAGACTAGAAAACATTTGAAATATCTGTTATTAAAGATTTACGATTAAGAAATATCTAAAAAAAGAATAAAGAAGATATCTTTTCAAAAAATTTGAGTAAAATGGCATGACTAAAATTGTTGCATTTTTTCAACTCATCTCGGTTACATTTTAATAAAAAAATTCCATTAATACTGGATGAATACTTATTCGAATGAAAACAATGAATGTAAAATCTAGCATCAATCGGAGTGGCTTCATTTTGTAGCTAATGTAATATCTGTATTTAATATTATAGCAAATGTAATACATTATTATCATAAGACAAAGAAGTACATTGTAATGGTATACCTAAGATCTATGCTATATTAGATCGCATTTTAACTTTTATTTTATTTTTATTTTATTTTTTATTTTTATTTAGTTTATATTGATTGTGAAACTGGAATGAGAACGGTCATGCTTCCAGATAACACTCTCTTTCTCTTTGATTTCAATGAACAGCCACCTTTTCTTGCATTTCCATACGATTCAGAATTTGAACTACATGATGTACAATGTCTCTTAATTTCATTCTTGAAGCCTCTCTTCCACTTGTACCATGAGAATTTTACAAGTGACAATGTTTAAACCATTTCAGTCTGATAGTAATCGGTCGGTCGATATGCTGCTCTAAATGTAACAAATACTCTACATTTATGCAAGGTTTATTGCTTGAAATATTGGATTAATCTCTCTAATGTAATGTTATTTGTTGATTTAGCTGACTGATAAGATAATGCCAGTATTCTGACATTTGAATTGTAGTACATATAATGTATATTTGAATGGTAATACATGTATAGTAATAGTATAAGTGAATCCTATTTGAATTGCAATAATGAATCCTGTATCATATCAATTATTTGAGTCTTGACTTTGAAATGTATTGAAAATTGTTTAAATTCAAATAGATGGTGGAAAAAGTGGTGATATCTTTTTATTTCAATTGCCTTTCTATGCAAAAACATTTTTGGTTTTAAAGGAAACATAAGGAGCTATCCTGTCATATATGGGCTGTCATATATGAGATATTCTCATTTTTTCCATATTATTTATCCGATGATTTCAATGTTTCCCAATTGGATTGTATCAGAGCATTTTACTGTTGAATTGTCTCGTGCCCATAGCAGAGGAAAATGATTCCAAGTAATATTCTTGTAAAATTACATGACAAACAAAATATGATTTATTAGGTTGGCACCAGCCAAAACTGCCTTCATAATTGTATCATACAATTATAATGCAATGATTTTATAAGAACTGGATAATACCATGCCTCCATTTTACATGGACATCTCTTATTTTCTCTACCAGGTAATGAGACTGCCTTGAACATTGAGAACAACAACAGAGAAGAATCAGAAGAACCTACTCCTGCAACTACTGATGAGGTAGAAACCACAGCAAAAGAACCAGAGTCAAACAATGTGGAAGATAATGATGGAGTTATCAATAAAGTTGAGGGTTTAAAGATTGAAGATGTCACAAGCAATGTTGAGGCTGATGCAGTTGATGAAGATGAGGAAGATGCTGATGTTGAGGAGGAAGAGGAAGGTGAGGTTGTCTCCTCTGAGCATCAAGATTCTCCATATGTAGAGGATGAGGATGAAAATGAGTCAGTAGACACCAAAGACAAAAAGGTATGAAATCTATTGTGTCTTACAGTGTGAAATAATATGTGCTTGTAAACTTGTAAAACTTTATTTCATGCTCATACATCCTCCTAAGCAGGTGTCCAGAATCCGTACCTCCTTCTTCCCCCTGCTATAACCAATTTGGAAGCGCCTGATTTAACTGAATCATGTGATCTAATTATGCGCAATGACTTATACATGATTTCTGTCGCAGTGTTGCGACAGCCAATCAGTTGCAAGTTCTTAATCAGGGAAATGCTAACTGCTTATCGCAGGGGGTAAAAAGAAAGAATATATTCTGGATTTTGAAGCCCTGTGATCGGAGGATGTGCTCATAGTGATTCATCTAATTAAACTCTCATAAAAAAAATTTAGGATTTCATTCACCCCCTTCTTCCTTTTTTTGATAAATTAAATGCCACATAGACTTCAAACTGTTACAATCGTACCATATATGTTCCTTGAAAATGAGGATCACAAGGTAGCCAGGATAGATAATAAGCTCGGGTAAATCTAAATATGTGAGACAAATGACGAAGGAAGCTAATGCTAAATGCAATGTATTACTTCTCTTAAACACATTTTCAGATGAAAAAATGTCTGAATATATACATTTTTACAAAAATTAGTTGCTTCAAAAGTCTTTTGCCTGGCTACACTGGCATGATGATTTCTATTATTTTAATTTGCTTAATTATAAGATGGTGAAAAGGTGAACTATCATAAAATCGCATTTTCTTACCAATCCCAGCGCATGTCTTTAACTTATGTAAAAAGTTGCCTAAGGAGGGTTGAAAAGGTAGAATTACAAATATGGCCACCTTCATCCTTTTTGTTTAATTGAATTGAGTATCACTTGTCATCTTGCGGCACTGAGCAAGACGTCAACAATCTATTATTAATAATCAGCATCATTTCCTATCTATCTTGTTTTCAACTGAGCTTCAAGTTGAAATATGTATTTTATTTATTTTAAGTTGTTTTGTGTGCTTATTTAAAATAAATTAAACTTACACATTCTTTAATGACACGGGGAAGATTTGACTCATTGGCCCAGTAACATGGAACAATTTTGAAATAGGAGTTATTTTCAAACAATACAATACCAATGTCTTCATTTTTGGCTCACACAGTGAGTCTATGGGATCAACCAGGCGTCCGTCCGTCCGTTGGTCCGTCCGTCTGTCCATCCGTCCGTCCGTCCGTCAACATTGGCCGCACAAATTAAAACTTGCTATACGGAGTGAGTCATAGCCACATTCATTTTATGCATTTCCATAATGCCTATTTGACCTATCATCGCCATTTCCCAAGTTCGCCCGGTTTCCAAGAAATTGCGGATTTTGACGTCAAAAAGTCAAATTTTCTGTAAATACTAGACACTTTGTTGAAGTAGAACTTTCAAATAACTTTTAGTAGTTGCTGTATATGCAACTTATGTCCTCTGAAGATTTCAAAGCTCTTGGAATTACAGTTTTTTGGTGTTTACTCCATAAAATTTGACAAAAAGTAGGACTTCATTTTCAGGAAACTTTCTCATGTATAAAGTCAATGGCAGGTTTTGTGATTGACAAGTTTCTCAAAGTTTGCCTTATACTTGATCATTTCTTGCAATGAATTACATCATTACTAGATAAAAGCATTCCCTTCATATTGCTTGATATATGTCAGCATCAAATTTTTACCGTTTTTGAGATATTTGACGTCAAAAAACAGTAAAAATAAGTTATTTTTCAACTTGCTTCAATTTGACCAAATTTTTTTTGGAAAATCATCTACAAATTGCCAGGAGTTCAAATCTGACATTAGTTTTAGGATTTGACCTTCAGTGACCTTCGAAAGGTCAAAGAAGTTGATTTTTCAAATTGATTTTTGGATGTAAATTTTGGTCAGCTTAATCACAAAAGACCTTACTCAGCTCTGACTAAGTAAAATTTTCAAGGTCAAACGTCATCAAACTAGGTCACACAACTGTGCTATCTAAGTTTCTCAAAGTTCGAGACTACAAATCCAAATCAATATTTTTGTTTGAAGGTCAGGATAAACATTCCTCTGAAGGTTCCAAACTGTGTGAGCACAGGACCGTGGGTCCTTCATTCTATTAATGTGGATATATATCTACAAATTATCCACAAAGTTAATATCCACTAGGGCCACTTTCAACACCACTTTGGTAGATATAAAAAATATTTTTATTGATACTTTGGTATAAAAAATTGTGACTTATATATAGAGCTATTCACTGCTAACTCAGACTCCTCTATTGGGAGCGATGCTAATTCTGCTGGATTTTTTTGGCATTTTTCATGAAATTTATTATGATAGCAGGGGTTTTATTAGCAGCAGGCAACAGGCAATTTTCACCAGTTGTTTTCAAAAATTGCCTGTTTTTTTAGGTACATAGAGTCAATAATGCATGCTTGCTTCCATCTAACCATCTGTTTCATAAAATCTTGAACATTGTGTGTCTTAGGTGGACGATGATATTGAGGATGACATGGATCTACTAGCACTAAGAGCAGCAGCCCTCGCGTCTGCAGCTCATAGAAACAAAAATAAAGAAGAGCAGGAGAATAGAAAACCTACAACAAAATCAAGCCCAAGTATGTTAAGTATCAGAAGAATGGCCCAAATAAGAAATCACGTGAATCGAAAATACACCTCAACAAACAATTGAAATTAAATTTTTTTTATGATTTTCTTTAACTGAACTCCTCAATTAAAATGATACAACTAGACCACATTATAAGTCATATAAATATGACAAAACTATTTTTTCTTCTTTTCACAACCTTTATTTTACTAAACAGGCATTTTGGATCCTGTCTGGATCCTTTTTCAACTGTTTAGTAAAATAAAGGTTGTGAAAAGAAAAATTAGTTATGTGATTTAATAATCCAACCTGAAGAACATGTTAAGAAGAACAAGAATTAGGATATAAATATGGTTATTGAATTACAGTAGTCATGTACACATGTACCATTGTACACTTTCTCTTCAGAGGCATCTTCTCAGAAACAGTTATCTCCACGACGACCATCTCATCGCAGAAGATTTCGTGCCAAAAACAAACAACGGACGTCGGAGAGTGATAGAAATCAAGACAGAAGTCACAGGGAGTCTCCACGCAATCGTGGAGAAGAACAGCGTCAGGTGGACAACAAGCGAGAAGAACAGTTGCATAAAAGGTATTTTTGCTGAAATTTTGTATTGTATTGTATAGTATAAGCAGTAAAAGTTCAAAGACCTTGATTTGAGTTTGGTGAAACCCCGGGGCCAATACTTCATTTGCCACTTTTGTATTTCTAAGTTAGAAGAGTTAAAAAAGAATGTAGAGATGATTTTTGATGGAAATGCATATTTAAATCAATATAAAGAAAAGGTGTAGAAAATGTGAATAGAAATCTAACCATTGATGTTTGTATCATTCTTCCTATAACCAACGCTTGCAAAACAATTGCATTTAATCTCATTTGTGTTCTAGATTAGAGGAGTTAGAAAGGGCCCGTAAGGATGAAATGGAATGGCAACGTCGTGAAGCTCAGAAAATCCTCACAATAGACGACCCTGATGAACAATACAGAAGGTTCATGCAGATGGTACAGCGAAGTGCTGGCATATCACAAAGCAATAAAGACACTAAGGTAGGCTATCAAAAAAGGCAATTCAATGTTGCAAAATACACACTGAGGAGTATAGATCATGATGGTTATAAACCAATTAGAACCGATAAAACATTGATTAATCAAAGCATTATTTGGTCTTTTAAAGAGGGTATTAGCAGAAATTAAATGAGAAAGTATAATGGTACGGTGAAGTGGTTTATAGCAGTGTGGTTTGCAGTTATTTGAACAGATACATATTCTTGAATGCTCATAGCTTGCTGAGAATTAGAATCTATTTTTCAAATTATTGAGTTTTTAGGCATACAAACAAGCGCTGTAATACTGTACTCTGCTCTACTCTACTCTACTCTACTCTACTCTACTCTACTCTACTCTACTCTACTCTACTCTACTCTACTCTACTCTACTCCACTCTAACTGAAAGTGTATTGTTTAGATTCTACTTGTTACCCCCTGTGATTTCCTTTTTTATTATTACTATTGCTATCAAAAGTACTTGTTCTCAGATTAAATATGTTCATTAAATTATGGTTATGAACAAAAATCATGAACAATCAATTTATATATTTTGAATAAACAGTTCTTGGGGAGTACTAAAAAATGTGAAAAATCATTGATTTCAGCCATCTACTGATGCAGATCAAGTTAAGAAGACTCCATCTGATGGTCAATTGAGGGATAACTATGAAGAGGTTGAGATGGAGATTGATAGTGATGACCAGGGTAAGTCAAACTAATAAGACAAAGGACCACAGAGCAGGTGATGTTAAGATAATAGAGAGCCTTCCAAGAAAAAGCTGTTTGAGCGTCATTGTTTTAAATCCAAAACCAATACCAAGTATCAAATATCAGTAATATCTTGAAAAAACCTTTAAGACATTAAAGTTAAAACAGACCCATGTCATGATTACTATTTTCATGGGAGAACCCCTCCCCCACTTAGGAAATAGTAACTGTGGTCTCTGCATTTTTTTTTATCATATTAAATCATATGACGTGTCATTAGGGTATCTCATGTGTCCATATTCTATATAGTAGAATTATGTCCCTAAGACAAAGTAACCAAATAGACCGCGGTCTTAATTGGATCACATTGTGTGTAAAACAGTGAAATAGCCTACTCATTCATCAATCCTTTTATTATTCCAACAAACGAAGTTTGATTGGATATGGTGAAGCCCTCCATTCTTCAGTCACATACAGATTCACGAAAATAGTGTTTGTTGGGATTTGCTACTCCTTGGAGTAGACGACTTCTAGTATGCCCTAATTCCAAGCATATGAATTTATTTTTAGATGTGGTACCATCTGGAGGGGACTTAGGTAGTCCAAGTGATGTTATGCAGTTCTTTGATAATACATTCTACCAGCTAGCCATGGGGCCAGGACCATCTCCTATGATGTACGTCCCTACAGTACCTCATATGCCTCCTCAACCTCCACTGGGACCAGTGTATAACATGCAACCAATGGTAAGCAGGAGAGCAGATCCAGAAGATGGCACAGAAATATTTTCCAATCGAAAACTATGGAAAGATATCAGTTAGCATAAAAATATCAAATCGCGATGTTGAACATCATTTAGCCTCAAAATCAATATTTGTGCTACCACCTAACACAATCGCAATACTTGAAACATCCCTGTTAACCTTCTTTCAGTATTACTACTCTGAGTAAATAAAAGCATAGGATAAACTGAAGTCATCCAATGTAATATTTTTGCATGTTAATGCCTTGTATACATTTGATTTGAAATGCAGTAAAAAGAAATTCTTTTGTCATTTCAGATGATTGAGAATCCTCCATTACCACCACCCTTACCTCCATCGGAGTCCCCTTCACCCCCTCCCTTACCCCCAGTGGATTCCCCATCCCCACCCCCTCTACCCCCTGGCTCACCAAATGAACCCTATACCACAGGCTCTCCTCAGGTTCAGAAAGTACAAGAATATGAACCTGAATTCCCAGATATGGACCCAGCATTATTAGTCCCTACCCCAACTAGCAAGTCTCTGACCATCCCAGGATTGGGTTTTGAGCTCTCTGTGTCATCAACATTCATCCCAGGGTACTCTCCAAGAAATGACTCCTCAGAGCCAGATACTTCCGAAGTTATTTACACCCCTGGTGAAGATAAGCATGTCGAGGAGTATGAACCTGATACAGATAATCCCACTGTAAATGCTGGTGTAGTATACCAGCCAACTCCAACTGAACCTACAGGGGTCCATCAGGACAGGAGCGGAAGCAGTGACAAAGAGGGGTCCATCAGGGCAGGAGCTGGAGTAAAAATGGTTACACCAGATGAAGAGGATGAAGATGCGGATGCTTTAAGAGCCTCATTGTTGCAATCTCTGAAAAATAAACGCAATAAAAAACTGACTCAAATGGAGGTAAGCTAATGAAATCAGACAAAGATGTACATTCTGTAATGAAATAGACGAGTGAAATTGTACCAAAATATTTTCAAAACGTTTTTCATTAATGATGAATGAATGTTTAAATAGAATAGAAAATGATTCCGATTTGATCTTGTCATTGTATTGAGAATATGTTGAGGAATTCGATGTTTGAATTTAATTCCAATCATTATTTGGAATGATTTAAGGTCAAGGCGACCAGTAGTGGAACAGTCTCTCCCCAGTCAGCCATCAGTCGCAGCTCTTCTCCCCTTGTGTCTTCAACCAGTAGTATTGTTGCAGCCAATCGCAGAGCAGAACGAGCTGAACGCAACATGCAGGACCATATTGTAAGTACTGTACATATCTTAGCAAAATATAACATTTGGTCATAATTTGAGAAACTGTACATACTGGAGTGGAAAAACAGACAAAACAAGGATAAAACAGGCATACAATTTATAGGTGGGTCATATCACGTGAATAGTGGGCATTACTTTGCCTTTGTTTTGGTCTTTTGGGGCCAAATTATCAAAAAATGGGCCTCAAATTTTTAAAACAATAGGCCAAATTTTTGAATTTAGTGACCCAAAATTATTTATTTTCTGATTTGAAATATGGGCACACCCCCTTGTTATATTCTTGATCTGCCAGTGAACACATGCTCCTGTGAAGGTATCAACATATGTGGCATTTTGTTCATCTAAGATTCAATTGCCTTTTCCTAATAATAATAATCCAGAAAATACATTTCAAGATTACTGACCTTTGTACTAAAATTTATAAAAAATCAAAATAGCAAATATTATAAGTAGCAAATATAATAGGTTATTGACCAACACAAATAATGATTTTCTTTTTAAAATGCTTTTTCATTGAATAACAATTTTTAATCTCCTACAGCTGAATTTTAAAACATATCAAAATCAATCAAGATATTATACGTAGCTACCTAGGAGACAGCTGTTTCGAAGGGGTACAGTTACATCAAAAAGCCAGATAATAAAAAATATATTCAACAATCATGTATTACCAACATCTGTTATGATTATGTTGCCTAGAATTTCTGGTGGTGATTGTATATGGGCCTAAGGGCAGCTTTACAATTACTCAAATATTAACAAAATAATTTTCTCCTTTCTACTTGAAAATGAAGAAGTTGATGCATCTCAACTATCATATTATTCAATGTATTTTTTTCATTTCAAATTGATAAGATTTCTCTAACAATTTTTTCTGATATAAACTAGACATTAACATTGCAAGCAATCTTACGGAGGCCCTTGTTGACGTTTTTGACAATTTGAAAATCACAAAATGTCTGATCTTAAGTGTAAAGTCATATATGAACTCCAGTCAACTTTGAAAATGATGTTTGAAAAGGGCTTTGTTTAATTTTAAGGAAGTTGAAATTTGACCACTTTTCAGTTTTTGAGCTTATATCTCAAATTGGTGAAATTTTTTAATAAATAGCTAATTGCTAATATTGTGAGGAAACTTAAGAGAAATGTTTAAACCTAATTTCAGCCTAAAATGTTGACTTGCAATTCAAAGCGTTGAGAAACTAAGATAACACTGTTTGTGACCTCAATTATCATGATATCTCTTACAAATAGACATAATTTATTTAAATAGAAAAATGCACTTTTGCAGTTTTACCCATTACACTTCCAACCAGAGGGTGCAAATGGCTTAAAGTGGGCTTAGTCTGAATTGCAAGCCTATTTTCAAAATCTAAGTATATGCAATGCGGCATTTTGTTTTAGATTAATTTAATTAGATAACGTAAATAGACTAGACGCAAGTAGAAATAATCTTGATTTATGGCATTAGAAATTCAAACTTCACTCAATGTGATATCATATTTGAAATCTACATGTAAAATGGCATCTAGAAAATAGAAATGTGGTTTTAAAAAGTGTTTACTAACTTTGAAAATTAGATTTTCTTTAGAAATGTGACTTATACAGTGCTCATGACACCTGGATTTGCTGAAGTAAGGATTTCCAATGTTAAAAAGAAGAGAATTTTCAAGTGATCATACATTAGTTAGAGGACGCTAAATGTAAAATATAAAATACTAAAGTATGTGTATCTAGACGTTATTGGAAAGTATAAAGTCTCAAATCACCATGGTCTGGGAATGGTGATAGAAAATCAAGATGCTGTTTATTTATGGTGAGCACTGTAGGTCAGGAAGATTCCGCATAGACTGCATGTTATAAAATCACATATATATTTATTATATTAGACAGAAAGTATTTTCTTTTACTGGACTTATTTTAATTTGTATAACTATTACAGATACATAAGGGTAATATAAAAATTGAACCATTGAAACTGATAAATATTAAAGTTTAATTAAACTTTCGAATACCCTACCATGTTATCTACCCGAATTAGCCACCTAGTGGTGAAAATAGCTTTCTAGACATTTCACCCCCTGGACGTTTCACCCCTAGACTGTTCACCCCTTAGACGTTTCACCCCCTGGACATTTCACCCCTTAGACACTTCACCCCCTGGACATTTCTTCCCCTGGATGTTTCACCCCTAGACATTTCATCCCTTAGACATTTCACCCCCTGGACACTTCACTCCCTAGACGTTTCACCCCTAGACATTTCACCCCCTAGACATTTCATCTCTTAGACGTTTCACCCCTTAGACATATTTCACCCCCTAGACATTTCAATTTTTTACTCCTACATATTTCATTCAAGTAAATGGCATATATTATAGAACATATTTCCTATTGACACATTTTGCTCAGCAACTTAAGTGAATTTAAGTTAGATGATTTTATGTAATAGGGTTTAGCTTTGGTTTGATTAATTAAAATCACAATTTAATTACCAAGTGTTCCAAATAGCATAATCAAATAACAAGTACTGTAATGCAGAGGTGAGTAGGTAGTTACCAGTTTCACCACCAGGTGGCTCGTTCTGGTCAGATAACATGGCGGGTATAGTAGAAAGTTCCCTTTAATTTCAATTAAAGTGGTTCAATTTTCATATAACCCTTATGCATTTAATTGTTATGCAAATTAAAATATATACAGTAAAAGAAAATGTTATCTGTCCAATACAAGAAGAGATATTTCACTTTTTGTGATTTTGTAACATGGGGTCTATGGGGAATCAACCCGAACTAGAAGTCACATTTTCAAAAAAGTTAAATTTTCAAAGTTGATAAACAATTTTCAAAACCAAAGGTTATATCTTGGATTATGACTATTTTCTGACAATGGAGACAGAAACAAACTCGGAGATATTAAAGTAGTAATCAACCCATCAACAGACTTTTTCAAAGATGTTGACCCCATTTTCACCAGAAATGCAATCATTTTTTACAATGTTTAATGCATTACTATTCTTTATTTTGATGTATCAAATAGTTCTTGAAAGGAAAACTTAATTGCTTTAAGACAAGTGTTCCCCATGTTATTTCTCCATTGAAAAATCTCATGCTATCCATTGGTTTCAGTTCATTTTGGTCATCCAAATTCAGTATCTTTAAAGTCCCTCCATTTTTCCCTTTTCTAATTATGCATTCCCTGATGAAATGAGTGTATGGTAAATTGAATTGAATTGAAATGCCTGCCACTGTAAATCCTTGCTCACATTTTTAGTATAGAATTACTTAAATGCCTACCAAAGTAAATCTTTGCTCAAATATGTCATAGAAATACTCAAATGCCTTCCACTGTTAATTCAGGGAGCAAATCCTCGCTCACAAATAACCTAAATTACATAACATAAATTACAATTAGCCTAATTGATAAAATGATCATCAGGAAATCTGCAACCAAAAATCTTATACAATTCTTATTAATTTCACTTCTAATTTATGCCATATCTAATTGTTTACCATAAAATGAATGCTTTTTATGTCCCCACCACATAGTGTGGGGCCATATTGTCGGCCTAGGCGCGTCCGTCTGTCCGTCCGTACGTCCGTCCGTCCGTCCGTCTGTCCGTCCGTCCGTCTGTCCGTACGTCCGGGAGTTTTCTCCAAAACAGCTACAGATATCACCTTCAAATTTTCAGGGATAACTTATGAGTGCATACAGATGTGGATGAAAAAATTTTAACTCGATACCTACTTCCTGTCGGCCATTTTGAAGTCAAATGCTAAAATCCTTGTCTGCAAACTTTAAGAAAAACGGCTTCACAGTTGCTTTTAAAACTTTAACATCTTGTTCAGCTCACTTCATTCTAGATCTGATTAGGTTTTGGACCTGTTAGCTCAGTCATGTCAGCCATTTTGAATGTCTTAAGAAAAGTGAGTGCACGATAATACTTTGTATCATATTCAATGGTGTTTTTGAGTTTTCATACTTTAACTATTTAGTAGCTTTATAAATAATTTCAGATGTACTTTGTTGTAAAAGCCTATGTAATTGTTAACAGTAGTTATATGTGATAATTTTGTAAGAAGAAATCAGCAAAAACACATAATCACTTTTTTATTGTCGGCCATTTTGGATTTTTCCGTCCTAAAATCTTGTCTGTGAAGTCTTGTCTACGTGTTTTCAGGTGAACCGTTTGGTGGATCAATTTCAAATTTTCAGGGATGATTCTTAGTATAAAAATCTAGATCTGATTTGTTTTTTGGCATTCTGGGTAAATGTCAAGGCAGCCATTTTGGATTTTCCGTCCTAAAATCTTGTCTGTAAAGTCTTGTCTACGCGTTTTCAGGTGAACCGTTTGGTAGATCAATTTCAAATTTTCAGAGATGATTCTTAGTATGAAAATGTAGAACTGATTAGTTTTTTGGCATTCTGGGCAAATGTCAAGGCAGCCATTTTGGATTTTCTGTCCTAAAATCTTGTCTGTAAAGTCTTGTCTATGCATTTCCAGGTGAACCGTTCTGTAGATCAATTTCAAATTTTTAGGGATGATTCTTAGTATGAAAATCTAGATCTGATTAGTTTTTTGGCATTCTGGATAAATGTCAAGGCAGCCATTTTGGATTTTCCGTCTTAAAATCTTGCCTGTAAAGTCTTGTCTACGCGTTTTTAGGTGAACCGTTTGGCAGATCAATTTCAAATTTTCAGGGATGATTCTTAGTGTGAAAATCTACATCTGATTAGTTTTTTGGCATTCTGTATAAATGTCATGGCAGCCATTTTGGATTTTCTGTCCTAAAATCTTGTCTGTAAAGTCTTGTCTACGCGTTTTCAGGTGAACCATTTGGTAGATCGATGTCATATTTTCAGGGATGATTCTTAGTATGAGAATCTAGGAACAGATTAGTTTTTTGACATTCTGGGTAAATGGCAAGGCAGCCATTTTGGATTTTCCATCCTTAAATCTTGTCTGTAAAGTCTTGTTTACATATTTTCTAG